GGTGGCTACCTTTGTTTTAATGTTAGGTAAAATATTAGCATTGAAATCTGTTCTTGGTCATTCTATAGCTGTGGCATGAAGGGACTTTTAGAGTCTCACTGGTCCACTTGTCCATCTGGTCTTTCAATTTGTTGAAATCATCAAACCTTTAAATAAAACTTACATAATCTATAAAAAAAAGTCAAATACTATTGTAAAATCACAAATTTTACTCAAAACTTTGTTACTGATAAATATGAGGCATGATTATAAATAAAAATGTATTCATGAAATATATGAGACACTCACACAATCTCAATAGTGTTGTATGTCCTATTTGCAACTGGACAAGATGGATTTCTGTATTACAGTCTTATTTCCATTAAATGTAGAAAATAAAGCCCACATGTAAGCAGTACCAAAGGCATCCCAGTACTGTGCATTGAATCCCCCAATTTGATTCAGCCACGGTTACTCTCCCTGTGCCCATTCTTTCTTCTCAAAAAGCTTGTCAACCTGAAGCAAAGTTGAAACCCAAGCATCATTATCGTTTTAATGGCTGGTCTTCTTTTTATTGCCAAGTACAAAATGTGTAGCAGATTGTCAAATATGCATGTATCGGTTGCAGTCATTGTTTGATCTCCAATCTGATTCTTTTGTAAGCATGATATCAGGTGACAACCCCCTTTAAGAAGGAATCAGAGATAGAACGGTATTAAGATCAGATGTTACTACACTAAAGATTTATAAAATGAAAGAAAAATGAAAATTAAAAGTGGACTTTAAAGCAAAAGTAACAAATATAAGAGCAGAAGGTGTTCATTATACATGTGGTCTAGATACAAAAAAATTGCTGAAATCTGCCTTTATTTAAGTTTCACAAATCCCTGACCTGGTTCTAATTATTCTACAACTAGTTTAGAATAATCTATCCCAGGTTTCTTGTTTCTAGGTGTTGTAGTTTTTTTTTTAATTTAGAGTAGAATAAAGATGCTGACGGTAGGGAAAAAATTGCCCTTTCATTTCCTGAATCGGAGGCCAGAATCAGAAGCCAACTTCAGCCACCGGATGCGTGATCACCCTACTGTTATCTGTTATTATTGTGTTCTTTCCTTAGTTATTGCATATTAGATTTAAACCTGACTGAAAAGTGCTGGGGAAACTGGAAACAATGAGCTTATTTTTAAAGTAGAGTAAGGGATTTTAATTTCACGGGGAGTAGGAGCATGTCAAACTCTGCTTCCATCACGGAGGTGAAGGTTGTAGACGCAGACTGAAGGAGTAACACTGAAGCTGGTTTCAAGACGGGACACAGCAGACTGAAAAAGTCCTGTTTACAGAAAGAGCAAATCTTTTATAGGTCTGTTGCAGCCATGTCTTTGTCTGAATACATCGTCGCCTTTTGTTCTTTGCCTGAAGCGTTTTGCCTTCTTAAAAATGAAGTCCCTAAAATAGCGTTGTCTTTGCCGCTTGCCCATGATGTTGTAC